ACACACACACACACACACACACACACACACACACACACACACACACACACACACACACACAGAGGACCCAGAGGTGAATGTGACTCATCTGACAGCTACATTGTGTTAGCTGTCAGCATCATCCAGGACTGATGCTGCCTCAGCCCCTCGAGACAAAACGCAAGGAGACCTTGAAGCTGCCTGCTTTCTGGCTGAGTTCAGTTAAAAGGACACTTTCTTACCTCTAACCAAGCTTCTTTATCTTTATCATTAAATTAATTATTAGACAAAAATTTGTTTCAAAGAGTTCACAAAATAAACTGGATTTTTACAACAGATGACATTGATGCATTATGTTCAAACTCCCTCACGTTAGACCGATTAAAGATCACACATCATCCGAAATGACCTCTTTGTTTCGTTCTCTCTCCTAGAAAACACCCATGAAGTGGTTCTGAGGAAGAGTTCGTCTGGTCTGGGCTTCAGCTTCTACATCTCGCAGCTGTGCTCCGGGGCTGATCGAGGCACCGTGGTTCGCATCAAACGTCTGTTCCCGGGGCAGCCAGCGCAGGAAAGCGGCCTGCTGCGAGAGGGGGACGTCATTTTGTCCGTCAACAAAGAGCCAGTGAAGGATTTGTCCTACCAGGTTGAGTTCAAATGCTTCCTAATAAGTAGAAGAAGTGTATTTGTTGTGTCACAGTTTTAGTTCCTGAACAGAGATGTAGATGCGCAGATATTTTTATAGGAGTATCGGCGCAGCCTAATCCACTTGGTCGGTTAAAATGAATAGGCTGGATCGTGGCTTAGCAACACCAGCGGCCCTGTCCTGTTAGGACCCTGAGCGCGTCACAGATTCGCTAATTCTTTAATCTTGTATTGCTGAAAATAGCGCACTAGTTGTGTCACACTGTTTGTGCTCTTTAATCTTTTTTTTTTCTGCACTGCCAAGGACCTACAGCGCAATTACGTTATCACAGCTGCTTTTAGATATTTGATCATTAAAGAGGTGCGTACTTTGAGCCCATTTGAAGTTGTACCCGATCCATTTCTCTACTCTTTTTGCCTCAGAGGGTTTTGTTCCTGCTCCGTGGAATCCCGTCTGAAGTTCACCTGTTGATCTGCCGACCTGCTCCTGGAGTACTTTACGATGTAGATAATAACACACTGGTAAGATGATGACTATGGGATGTATAAGGCAGAAAGTTTTCAGATTGATTAGCCCACCTTTTGTTCGACTCTGTAGAGCCCTGCACCCTTGCGTGAGATCCGATCCAGATCTCTAGACCTCCGACTCGGAGAGGACTACAGCCAGCTCCTTAAGTCGCCAAATGATGTCAGCGTACACGCACTGATGGTGCCCCCCACCAAAGAGGAGGACCTGACCAACGTGACCGAGAAATCTCCTGAAGTCGCGGCTTCACCACCCCCAGAGAGTCCAAGGAGCCCAGAGGGCGAAGCGCAGACCTATGAGAGTCTCCCGTCTCCCCTTCGCACACCCCCCTCACCGACGTCACCCACGTCGCCCCCGTCGCCGGTCTCGCCAGCCTCGCCCGCATCGCCAGCGTCTGCTTCTCCACCAGCCTCAACGGAGCCACGGGCAGCAGCGGAGAAACAAAAGGAAGGAGAAGAGGAGGCTGCAGCTACACTAAGCTCAGCTGTGATGCTTATGGACGTTTACCCCAAAACTGCCTCCAAACCTGTATATACCAGGTATTCTATAAAACACATATTTTGCACACTAAACATTCATAGAAATGCCGGTCGTGTTTAGAAATAAAAAAAACATATATTTTAAGTTCTGCCTCAAGGGGAGGAGTTCAAGCATTTCGGGGTCCTGTTCACGAGTGAGGGAAGAATGGAGTGTGAGATTGATAGACAGATCGGTGCAGCTTCCGCAGTTTTGCGGACTCTGTACCGGTCTGTTGTGGTGAAGAGAGAGCTGAGCTGTGAGGCAGAGCTCTGGTTACCGATCAGTCTACATTCCTACCCTCACCTATGGCCACAAGCTTTGGGTAGTGACCGAAAGAACGAGATCGCGGTTACAAGCGGTCGAAATGAGTTTTCTCCGCAGGATAGCTGGACTCTCCCTTAGAGATAGGGTAAGAAGTTCAGATATCTGGGAGAGACTCAGAGTAGAGTCGCTGCTCCTCCACGTCGAGAGGAGCCAATTGAGGTGGTTTGGACATCTAGTAAGGACTCCTCCTGGACTCCTCCCTAGGGAGGTGTTTGGACAATCATAGTAAAAGTTATGAGTGAAATATTTTAGCTGCTTCACCGGCAATATGTTTGTTTTTTGCAGCGGAGTTAGAGAGGAGGCAGATGGGAGTGTGACCTACTGCCTTATGGGAAATGGACTGACTATTGTGGCGGATGAAGAGTACCTGACCATCAGCTCCACTCTGGAGACCCCTCCCAGCCTTCCATCCAACAACACGCCAACAACCAACCCAGACGCCCTCGACTCTCAAACCTCTAACAGCTTCCAGGCTCCGAACCTCAACCCTCACGTCCCCACTACCACCCTGCCCCCCCTCAACTTCCTGTCAGACAGCCCAGCCCCGTCCCCTTTGAGCCACTCGCCTCAGCCGCTCACCACACAGCCCCCGAAAAACAAGCACCACCCGATCCAGCAGGGGCTTCTTCCGAGCCACTACAAAGCCACGTCTAAGAATATCCAGCCCAGTGTGCCTCCCTCCCAGCCTCCGCCGCTGACCCCCATCACAGCCCAGGTTATCTCCTCAGTGCCTCCTGCTCCAACGCTGCCAACCTCAGTGCTGCCCTCGCCTGCCCAGATGCCCACACAGCTGAGAGAAGAGCTGGAGAGGAAGCTAAGGGAGTTTGATGACGATGACGACGACGATTTGGACGAAGAGGAGAAGGAGAGTCGGAGAAAGGCAAGTTGAAGTTCCTTTTTTTGTGTGTTTTTCAACTTAAAAATCTTCATCAGAACTTTGCTTGTCTCCCTGTTAGACAGCAAGGGATGTGTAAACCGTGTCGTAAAATTAGGTGAATGTTTTTTGCTTTTAGTTATAAGACAGTACTCAGTTGAGGCAGCTGGTCAAATCACAAATTGCAGGTACTAAAACATTATTTACACTCCTGTCCTGGCTTCTCTCCATTGGCTTCTTGTTTGCTTTAGGAAAGATTAAAAAAATTTACTGCTTACTTTTAAATTTCTAAAAGGTCTGGCCCCATCATTTCTTTGTGATCTTATTAACATGCACACCAAAGTTAGAACACAAGTAACTAAGTACAAATACTTTGTTACTTTACTTAAGTAGAAATTTTGGTTATTTATACTTTTGTGGAGTAATTATTTTTCAGTCTACTTTTTACTTCTACTCCCTACATTTTATTTCTGGACTTTCTACTCCTTACTTTTTAAAAATGCAAAAAATCTTTTATTTCTATTCAACTTTGACTTGTTTTTATTCATTGTTCAGAAAATAAATAAATAGAAATTTAACTTGATACATGGAGTCCATGGATAGAGTGAGTATGATTGTGGTTGGATGAGAAGGGGGGGTTGTACGCTATAGGACCCTGTGGCACAGCCTAAGCTTTTATCCTTAATGGCTTTTTTAASTGTTCATTGCTTTTACTTTTATACTTTAAGTACCGTAGTTTTAAAACTATTATTTTTATACTTTGAGTAAAAAGCTTGAGTTGATACTTTTACTTCCAAAAAAGTTTTTTTAAACCCTAGTATCTTTACTTCTACTTAAGTAATGAATGTGAAAAAAAATTGGCATTAACAAATTAAAGGAATTTATCCATCTTCTATATCTGCTTGAGTTTGAGCAGGATTACAAAGACTTGGTGTCTATCATCTCTTTTGTTTTTTGTTTTTTTGTTTTTTACTTTTGCAATAAGGTGGATATACATGTTTGTTGTTTCTACCTGACAGGGTAGGATTAAAGAGTTTGAGCTTACTGTGGTTCTGACCAAGTCCAGGAGTGGAAGCTTTGGGTTCACCATCACTCGAAGCAAACTGGACAACTGCTACTACATACAGGACATACTGGACAACCCAGCCAGGGCAGATGGACGCCTCAGAGCTGGAGACAGGCTCATCACTGTATGTACCACGCACCTGCTTCGGATGTTATCATCCATTAAATGGACGTTATTAGCCGTTATCAGTCCCATAGAGTGGCTTCAGACTGTCCCGACTGTGCCCCCTACTGGGTTCTCCATCCCATAGAATGGCTTCAGACTGTCAGCTGGTTAGTATGAGGCATAAAGCCACTAAGGTTAATTTTAGAGAAAATGACATGGGCTACGAAAAAGTAGACCGGACTCTGGTGATAACAGATTTGTTGTATTCCAACATATATGGCACTGGTAACCCACTAGGGGGCACAGATGGGAGAGTCTGAAGCCCATCTATGGGACTGATAACTGCTAACTACGTCCATTTAACATCCGAACCAGCTGCACCACAGCATATGCAAAAATAAATAATAAATAATTCTTCTGGTTTTTGCATGTGTGCTTTTTTTATGATGCCTCGTCGTGTTCTGCCAGGTAAATGGGCACAACGTCACCAGCGTGGCCGATGACGTCGCAATGACAATTCTCAGGTCGTCTCCGAGAAGACTGAGCATGACACTCGGCAGGGCGGTCAGTAACCTCGTGGCTCCGCCTCCCTGTGACAGTCTACCYGATGTTGTTCTCCACAAGACTCCTTCGGGACAACTCGGTGGGACTTTTGAACTTCTAAAACAAAAGTTTTAAACACACCCGAGTGCCTTTCATTCAAACAATGCCTCCACGTGTGTCCCCTCTCCAGGGATAAGGCTGACGGGTGGTATCGGCAGCAAATGGCAGGGCATCTATTGTTTGGATGTGGTGCCAGGCTCCCCGGCCAGCGAGGAAGGCAGTGTCCAACCCAACGACAAGATCCTGTACATCTGTGGCAGGTGCACCCTGGGAATGACCTTAGAGGATGCAGTCAAAGCCTGTGAGATYGCCCCTCGTAAGGTTAAACTAAAAATTATCAGGTATTTGCCCCTTTTTTGGCTGGAAAAAATGAACAGATATTAATGTTGTTTTTATATTTTTGAATTTCTAAATTACTCTTTATTTATTTATTTATTTATTTGACCCAGAGAAGACCAGCCAGTTACACCTAAGGCCAAGTGGAATGGTAAGTTTTAAATGCTTTAATAGCCTAATGAACTCACATACAGGATAATGTGGTTGTTATGCATTGATGGACAGCCTGGAAACTAGATATGTTTGTGCTGACCAGAACAGCATCACTTAAAGCTCAATCATTCCAAGAGAATTTAAGTATTCTAGGAAGCGAGGTAATGGCTTGTCTGTGCATGTTGTTGCAGTGGGGGCAGTTTTCTTCTTCTTCTTCTTTTTACCTCACTTTTTAACAAGCTTTCTTTCAACAGGTCTTTTTGACTGGAAAAAAGACAAGAAGTTCTTTGCTCGATTTGAAGAGTCTCCCTCGCCTGAGAGGAAGTCGTCAACTGAAAATAGTGAGTTTTTAAAGTTTATTTTATTCTCATTTTACCTACTTCAGTCTTTCCCACCGTTAATGGTTTATTTTCACGCTTATATTTCTTTTGTCAGTGCAAAGTTGGGGCCTTGTGCTGACTGAAAGGTCACTCTTTGCTAAAATGTGTGTGTGTGTGTGTGTGTGTGCGTGCGTGCGTGTGTGTGTGACAGAGAGAGCTCTCAGTGCTGACAGACAGATCCTGGGCTCTCTCTGTAAGATTAATAATTAGCGAGCCTCCAGCCCTCCACCGGTGTATTAGACTACAAAGCCAAAGACATCACACACACACTTATCAGGACCCACACAGGTGGTGGTCTATAGAGCAGGAGGCTCAGTTGCCTGCCAACGGGACATAGAGCGGTACAGGACAGGGCAGAGGGGCCACTTTAAAAAAAAGATCTGCCTTGCTCATCTGTTATAGAAAAGGAGGCGCATCCATCGACGCTTTTTTTTTCCAGAAAATGTGCGAACAGGTGCAAGGTTAGTTTGTGTCTTACTGGCTTGGATGTTCCAGCTTCGAATTTTACTGCCTTTATTGCTATTTTTWTWTTTTTATTTTTAGGAAACATGGTTATGAGGCCTATATCTATGTATTGACTTTATATGTTTATGTTTTTCAGCTGAATCCACGTGTAGGACTGCTGGGAGGTTCAGGGATCTCTCTCTCACCCAGGAACAGGATGTACGTTACATTTTTCAGGATTGTCGCTTTTTTGTTACTTGCAMTTCTTTCGATTTTTGTTGTTGTTTTTTTTTTAAACAGCCAGTGTCTTTTGAAGGGGAAAAGCTCTGTAACAAGAGTCTACTCCGCATTAGTCTGCAAGTGCATACAGAACAGTTTAAAGTTGATGCATGCCAGTTCTGTTTTAATTCCACATTTCTTTGTATTTTAACGAGCTTTTGTCCCTGCAGAGTTGCATCATGCAAGTGGAGTTCAAAAAACCAGAGGGAGGCGGTCTCGGCTTTGCTTTGGTTGGTGGAACCAATGGCAGCATGCTCAGAGTGAGGGACATCTGCTCTGGTGGACTCGCTGAGCAGGACGGCCGTCTGAAAGTGGGGGATATTCTTTTAGAGGTAACCAAACATCCGTTATTGAGTCGTTTGCTATTTTGCRGCGGCGATGAATTGATTCTTCATGCTTACCCCGGCAGGTGAACGGTGTGATCGTGTCCGGGCTGAGCCACAGTAAGGTTGTGGATATTCTGCGTAAGGCCGAGGGGACGGTCCAGCTCACCATCTGCAGGGACATTTTGCCCCTGAAATATTCCGAGTCTCCCACACCCCCGAACATGTCGGTTTATACGGAAGCGGTTTTAGCGGAGCAGCCTGCTCACGTGTCCGGCCATGACACCTGCTCCACACCTGACGTCATGCTGAACCGACCAGTTGAGGTTCCCCCTGGTAAGACTCCCAGAAACCTTTTTTATTTATATTCTTATCTTAAAAAAAATTACAAATGTAATGCTAACTAATTAGACAGCATTTTTGATAAAGCTAGCCTATACTGAGAGCTACAATTGCTGTTTTAGAGGCGTCTGCAGTTCCTGCTGTTAACAAAACAGAAGTGATCCTTACCTCCCCGCCTCCTCCTCCACCTCACAGAGTGACTGTTGTGAGAGAAAAGACTTCGACGGAAGAGGTAGCGCACATTTGAACTCCGGCGACCACAATTTGACAAAATCTGTTTGATGAAATTAGATCGTGCTCCACGTCTCTTTACTAACATCCACTAACATCTTGCTCCTCCTGTCTGTTGCCTCCTCTGGCTGCTTGTCCGTGGGGACAGGAGAGTTGTAATAACACCCCCTCTCATCAAGCTTGCTGCCCATCCCTCAATGTCACTGACATGTTGCATGGAGCCACTGACAGGTATTAACATCTCCCACTGTGATGTCTCTGTGGTTTCCTCTCCTCTTTCCTTTTTCCACCACCTTCTCCTGCTTTCTCCAATTGTTTTGTATTGTGAAGTTCCACTTTTGACCACAGGGAGGCGGCAGAGAGCAATGAACGACAATTATAGTTGTCTGTAGGGTGCTGATATTTGTCTTCTGGATATTTTATTTTCTTGTTATAGTTTAGCATCTAACACAATTGAATGAAATGAKACTGAATTTGTATTTATGTGGACTAAATGCAGTTTTAAAATCTGGCAGCATTTTTGACCAGGAATGTATTTTAGCATCTTGTCTGTGGAGTTAAATCAGTCACATTGAAAAATAAAACATTGTCATTGAAAAACACAACATTGAAAAATTCAACACTGAAAAATGAAACACTGAAAAAATAAACATTGAAAAGATTTTGGCATTTTAAAGTTACAATGCCAAAATCTTTTCAATGTTTCATTTTTTAATGTTTCATTTTTCAGTGTTGTGTTTTTCAATGACAATGTTTTATTTTTCAGTGTTTCTTTTTTCAGTGTTTCCTTTTTCAGTGTTTCGTTTTTCAATGCCAAATCTTTTTTTCAATATCACTGTAAGCTGTCACTGATTTAACTCCACAGTCTGCGTAATTTAGGTGACAAAATTTAAGCTCAGCATTGCATGAGTTTGAGCTTCTCTGCTAAGGAGTTTTAAAATAAGGTTTCTCCGTCTGACTTTCTCAGGAAACAAATTGTGACCAAACTTTTGGACCAGTCCTGCAAAGATGTCCGGAAAACCCAGTCCGATGGTTGGAGCAGCGAAGAAGATGATGTATTTGATGCAACGAGTCAGGAAGTGTCCTCTACCCAAACAGGTTTTTATAATCACCTTGATTTTACTGGGTTTTTTTTTTTAATGTGTCAGAGCAAAATCTTTATCTAAAAGGAAGCTCTGCTCCTCAGGTCCGCCGCTAGTATCAGAGGAGGAGCTGGCCCGTTTAGCCCTCATTACTCCTGCCAGGTCCAGCCAGTATTCAGGCTTCAGGGTCAAAGCTCTAATCCAGATTCTGCAGCATCAACTGGACCAGCAGGAACTGATTAAAGAGTTCATGGTGAGTGTGTGTTGTGGTTCGCCTTGAGAACATATGCAAGCAGCACTGATCTCTGCATCCGAACTATACAGGTGAAGTTAATAAACCTTCAAACATCCAAACACAGACACACTGTTTGATGACAGTTCAGTTCAGACCTTTATTGTTGCCCAGGGGCAAATTTGTTCTTACAGGAACATGCTATAAGAACACAGGACATTAGATATTGCGAGCAACCTGACCAAATTCAGCCACAAAAATGTGCTTGTTTTAAAATTCCATTGGTAATAAGAAATAAACAAAAATGATACAGCACTACCTAAAACGTCTAAAAGGACTTGGCTGATTAAGTGTTTTTTGTTGCATTTGGAAGAAAATAAAATGTCACATTATTTTCATAGCTTGTACCTCTGACCAGATGGATGGCAGAGGAACAGATTATTCCATAAAAGATGATATTGCTGACTAAAACTAACCTTATTACTTGATTTTGCAAATTTTTGACAAGGACACTTGCTGTAGGCCAGGGGTGTCAAACTCATTTTCACCGAGGGCCACATGGGCATTACGGTGGCCCTTAAAAGGCCAGTTGTAATTAACGTTGATGTTTTTATGTTTAACGTCGACTAAACAGTTTTTCAACCCGTCCTCTTATAAACACTGAAAAGTACTAAGCGTACGACTAAATCTGAAATAAATTATATAGAAATAACATTAAAAGTAAAACTAAGAGTTTAACTAATTGATGAGTTGTAGTGAGTGGCTGCCATCTTCATTCTGAACTCTCCCACTGTCTGCCAGGGAATTCCCATGGGTGATTGAAATGCATTATGGGAGATGTAGTTTAAAGTCAATGCTGGTTTTAAAGCAGATTATTACTGTKTTATCCAACTAAATTGCTCAGTTACTTAAAGCCAACAGCTCGGGGGCAGGACAAAATTTATTATCTTTCAACTTTTTAAAGTTTCTTTATTTTGTTGCATTTATACTTTATATAAATTTAAAGTTTACCATTGATATAAGAAACAATTTTCATATGAAGTATGATAATAATTTTATTTTATTTTTTTTATTTTTTTTTTGTGGGGAGGAGTGGTGGCCCAGACGGGACTCACCCTTAAGTTTGACACATGCTGTGGACCAATAACATGACATGCATGTCTAAAAACAAAACAGTTAATTGAAAAATCTGCCAGTGTGCATTTCACTGCAAATACTTGTTTATGTGGTATGTTGTGGGTCAGATTACACATTTTCTTCATCTAACTTCACACATGCTCACAGCTCACCCCTGATTATAACACATTCCCACGAGCATGCAAAGTGTGACAGTAGCTTCAACAAACAGTTTGTAAAGCATGACGTTCTTATGTTGCTGTTTGTTGCAGGCTCTGGAGCATCTGAAGCCTTCTGACAACTGTTTGGTGGGAAAAGCACCTGAGAACAGAGATAAGAACCGCTACAGAGACATCCTACCCTGTAAGACTTTTATTTTTCGTGGGAAGGTTTTAAAGTAGAAGTGCCTTTTTTTTTTTGTTATGTTCATTACACTGAGAAAGAGGTTAAAGACTGTAAAGACTGGAGGCGTAAGGATTTATAAGACAGCTTATTGACACATTAATTAATCAGCTTAAGCTGGCTGTACATTTTTACTGTGAATCTGTTTATTTACTGCTCCTAAGAAAACTGCGCACAACATTTTATAATCTCCTCGAGTCAATAAATTACTGGTTGCTAACTTACAGTGCAATTTTTTTCTCAGCCTGCCAAGAATGTGACCATGATGGTCCTAGCAATTATCTTGTCTTGGATTTATATTTTTAATAAACGAGGAAGGAATCGATTCAACCGGCTGCAAAATCGTTAAAAATTACAGGAAGACGATGCAAAGAGACGAGATGTAAAAAATTTGAGTTTGTGCGCGTTATTTTCTCAGAAATGACCCCAGGAATGTTCCTAATGTAAACCCAGATGCCAAACACACACAACGCATGTGTGACGAGAACAGAAGTGTTTTCTTGTCAAACCGCTCGCAGTGTGTGGGGGTCAGACGGGTCAGAGTTGGGATGAATGAGTGTGATAAAATGAGGTCACCCCCAGTGGAATTATTACTATGAACTCACCAAATGCCTTGCAGCTTGTTGTAAATGTTGTGTTTTGGGGAATAAAGATAGATTGTTGTTCTGATGGACAGTTGGGAGATTTCTGTTCTTTTAACCTGAACAAATTTCTAATTTGTGGCATTTTTTTAAGCCTCAGTGAACATTCCTTACTGTTTTCCTGAAAGTTTCTGGTCAACATTCTTCTCCTCATGAACCACTGGTTGAATTTAGATGAAATTCAGACAGTACTCATTAGAAAAAACAGCTACAACAGATTAGCTTTTGGAGCTAATTTTATTCAAGATGGCCACCACAGCTAATCAATCCTAAACACAAAACTGACTACATTTCAGTCAAGGACCCCCTCGAAAATGAGATGGTACATCTCAAGGGGTGATCCTTGGAAAAATAAAATAAATAAAAATAAAAAATTTGAACAATATTGAGCTAGAATTTGGTATGGTTATAGCTAAAATTCATAATCAATACATATTGTTAACAGATTGTGCAGGATCTTTGTTCAAAACATTGATATTAACTGTTAAATCAATTATTTCTGTCTGTTAGCAAAATATCTCATTAACACCCAGATGGATTTGAAAGAAACTCTAACAAAAATATTTAGTAGATGTAAAACTATAACTGATTAACATTTGGAGTCAAGTCAATGCAAGATAGCTGCCACGGCTAATCAATCTTAGCAAACTCATAACTGACTATACCTCTGTCCATTTTAAAAATAATAAGCTAAAATGTGGTATGGTAGTAGCTAAGACTCATACTCAACACATATTTTTAGCATTGACAGATCATGTGGAATATTTGTTCAAAACATTGACATTACTTGTTTAAATCAGTTTTGTCTGTCTGTTAGCAAAATATCTAATGAACCCCTGGATGGATTTTATTAAAACTCTATTAAAAATAATCAGTAGATGTTGAACTATGACTGATTAACTTTTGGAGTCAAATCAACTCAAGATGGCCGCCACAGCTAATGAAAAATAACTCAAAATGGCTTTAATTTTAATTTAATGCAGTCAGTGTATATATTTTGTATGGTAGCAGCTATATTGCATGCTATTATGTACAATATTTCTAAGATTTGACCAAAAATACTCCAGTTTTCAAGGTAAGATTACCTTTTTAGTACTTTAACCCGATGAATACCCAGTTAAGAACTTTAACATAAAAGGTGGCATTCATTTAAGTATAGCTAGGCTTTTATTCAGAATATAAATAGAAGTATTGCTTCTCTACACTTCAAACACACTAAATTTTAAAAAAATGTGTGGGCTTTTATTCCTCCTGCAGATGATGAAACCCGTGTAGCCATCGGAGAGAACCAAGAGTACATCAACGCAAGTTACATCCGCATGCAAGTCGGAGCCGAGGAGCTGTTCTACATCTCCTGCCAGGGGCCCCTGCCCACCACAGTTCAGGCTTTCTGGCAGATGATCTGGGAAAACAAATCTGACGTCATTTCCATGATGACCCAAGAACTAGAACGAGGAAGAATCAAATGTCACAAGTACTGGCCAGAGAAGCTGGGTGCACCTGTAAACACAGACAAGTACCAGCTTTACCTGGAGAACCAGCAGTTCCTGGAACACTTTCACATAAAGGTCATCCGCATGGTGGAAACAGAGGTAAAAAATAATAATAATAATTTTAAAAAGCACAATGAAGGTTTTTTTTTTTTTTGTTGTTGTTGTTGAATGGTGAATTTTATTTGGTGCAAAATTACAAGTGACTATAATTCCAGACGGGTGAGACCCACTTTGTTCATCACCTGAAGTTCACACACTGGCCCGACCACGGCGTGCCACACAGCTCAGAACAGCTGGTTCGATTCATTCGCTACATGAGGGCTGTGCACCACAAGGGSCCGATCACTGTTCACTGCAGCGCCGGCATCGGGCGGACGGGGGTCCTCATCTGTACCGACATCATCATTAAACTCATTGAAGAAGACTCGCCTGTAAGTGGAAACTTGTTGGGTTTTTTTTTTCATTAAAAAGATAACATATGTGACCCCGTCGCATCAAACTGAGGGTTAAGTTAAATTTAGTCAGAATGGCCCAAGCGCATTTTCAGATTTCAGGCTTTTTAAGCTACATTATGAGTATCTAAATAATCCCAAATCATGGTTCCAGAGATATGACTCGATTTGTCTTCCTAATCAGGATAACTCATTGATATTTGGTTTCAAATCCTGTTTTCAGGTTATTCTAATGAGGAATTTTTGACTGATTGTAAAATAGAAACCTTAAACAGTATTTGAATGTTGAGATTTCCCAGCTGGAAAGAAAAAAGTATTTTATAGCTCTCTGGAAAAGTGACAATTAGAGGGCGTTTTTGCTCAAAATCACGTTTTTTGTTGCTACTGTTAAAAAATGCCTCAATAAATCTTTAAGCTTATATTTCAGCCAGTTCGTTCAAAGGAACTATTGATAATGTTCATTATATTTTGACAAAATGCAATTATTGCAAATGTTTTAACTAATGCACTACAGTTGTCTATTTCTCCACCACTTTATGATTTAATTCTCAGTTTGATGGGATAGGTCATGTATTATTTTGTCCTAATAGCAAAAAAACCAATGTAGGAGTTGCACCCACATTGGTCACAACAGAAAACCTTGATTTGATTTGATTTATTTATTTAACAGGAAAAGGTTATTAAAAATCAAGCCTGACTCAGCATAATTGCTGTTTTACAGCAGGTTCCTGTTCTGCAGCACATAAAACACTCAGAATTACAGC